GGGACCCTGAGGGCCCTTGTCCCAGTGGTGCAGGGCGTGGTGGCGCACTTCCCCCGGGTGCCCCAGCAGCAGCTGCTGTTGGCCGTCCTGCCCCCGGGGAGCTCCCGCTGCATCAGCTGCGCTGTGGTGGGCAACGGAGGCATCCTCAACAACTCGCGCCAGGGCCAGGAGATCGACAGCCACGACTACGTGTTCCGGTGAGCCGCGGCCCGCGGCGCCCTCTGGGTGGGCTCTCCAGAGCGCTGCGGGCGGCACCGGGCTGGGAGCCGGCCCTCAGACGGGCCTGCGGCCACCCTGCTCGCGCTCCCGCCCCCAGCCTCTCACGCGTGTCTGGCCTGTCTCCCGGGCAGGCTGAGCGGGGCTGTCACTGAGGGCTACGAGCAGGATGTGGGCACGCGGACGTCCTTCTACGGCTTCACGGCCTTCTCGCTGACCCAGTCGCTTCTGATCCTGGGCAGGCGGGGCTTCCGGCAGGTGCCCAAGGGGAAGGTGAGCAGAGGAAGGGCTGAGTGCCGGCGGGTCACGGGAGCGGGCGCGGGCTGCGTGTCACTGGCCCCTTCACGGAGGGCAGGAGCGGGCCGGGGGCAGAGGGGTGCTGGGCCGTGGGACGGCCAGGCCGCCCGCCCGTGCCTCGAGGCGCCCGCCTGAGCCCACACTGGCTCTGTTCTCAGGACGTCCGCTACCTGCACTTCCTGGAAGGTGCCCGGGACTTCGACTGGCTGGAAGCTGTGCTCCGGAACGAGCCCCTGAAGAAAAAGAGTCTCTTCTGGTTCAGGTGCCTCCGCCCGTGCCCACCCCGCCAGGCCCAGCTCCGTGAGCCCCGCGAAGGCCGGCAGGGCGGGCTGCCTCGGCGTCACCTGAGGCTGGGCAGAGCGTGGCCCTCACCGGCCCCCGGCTGAGGGGCACCCGAGCTGACAGGCCCACTCCCTCCTGCCCACAGAGGCAATCCCCGGGACGTTTTCCCCGAAGACCTGTCACTGGACAGGTACCTGCTGCTGCACCCGGATTTGCTCCGCTACATAAAGAACAGGTGAGTGTGGCCGGAGGGGAGGGGGCGGGCCCCCCTCGCCTTGCGGCTTCCTGACAGCGGGGCCTGGGGGCGTCGCAGGTTCCTGAGGTCCAACAGGCTGAACACTGCCCATTGGAGAATATACCGGCCCACCACCGGGGCCCTCCTGCTGCTCACCGCCCTCCAGCTCTGTGACCAGGTAGGCGGGGCCGGGCGGGGCCTCCTGGGCACGGCCAGGGGCCGGGCGGGGCGCATCCACGGGGCGGGCAGCGGAGGGGGAGCACGTCCGTGTGCAGTGCATCTGGGGGCCTGCGCCGAGACCCCGGGGTGCCACCAGGCCGAAGGTCCCCAGACCCCCACACAGCGATCGTCCTCCGTGAGAAGCGGCCGGGGAGGCGGCAACCCCTCCTCTTTCACTAGGTGAGCGCCTACGGCTTCATCACGGAGGGCCACGAGCGCTTCTCCGACCACTACTATGACAAGACGTGGAAGAAAACCGTCTTCTACCTCAACCACGACTTCAAGCTGGAGAGACAAGTCTGGAAGCAGCTGCACGACGAGGGCATCATCCGGCTGTACCAGCGCCCTGTGACTCCCAAGCCCAAGATCTGAGTGGAGTCTGGGCTGCAGGGCCTCGTCACCACCCCGGGCACCAGCGCTGGGAGTCTCGGGACGCCCCTGCCATTCGCTAGGGGCTCGGCTCGGGCGCCAAGATGCTGAGCGGACACTGAGGGACACTGAGCCGGGCGGGGGGCCCAAGATGCTGAGGGGAC